TTATGCTTCATCTGTAAACAGCTGTTACTTCTGACCTGTAAGCAATTCATGGTCAACTTTTCGATTTCTTTTTTTACTTTTTTGCTTTGAAGAATGAAGAACATATAGGACAGGAGACCATTCTACCAGTTCATAAGGTGGCACATTCCTTCCTCCAAGGAGAGAGCAAGACATTACCCAAAACAGAATAAAAAACTCTGGCAGAACACAGAGCCCAGGTCAGGCGATCAAGCCTGTAAGTCATCGTGAAATGTGTTGCTTTACTGCTATCTTGCAATAGACACTTCTTATTTGGTACAGGAGTTGTTTGTACTTTCCATATTGCCTATAAGCACCACGTCTAAAAAGACAGCAAGAGATTAAAGCAAAACCATCCAGTGGAACTGATTTTGCATATTAAAAAAAAAAAAAACAAAACAAAACCTATTAGCCAGCACAATTGTAACAGAAATATTCCCATGCCTCTCACCAGGCAAGAGCTCATGGCTTTAAATTTATTCTTTCAATGTCATACAATTTATACATAATGGGGTATGGAGAATAGCATTGTTACACATGTCAAGCCATGGGGACCGCAGAGGGTGCACAGTTTTAGGCAGCAGGCCCAGAATCTGAACCTGATGAGCTCTTGCATAGCTTTTGCTGAACTGGTCCTATTAATGGATCAGATCAATGTCACTGCAAATAGCAATGAAAACCAAAATTCCTCCTGTTCTACAGCCTATGTTACATAAACAGCTGTCCAAAACATGAAGGAAAAAACAGATGAATGTCTCGCTAACGCTGCCTATCATGCAAACCCTACAGATTTCAAATGCTCATACAAGGGCCAAGAAATGCATTCTTGGCACAGCCTAAAACTCTATACCCTGCCCTCAACTTTCACTGACGTCAATGGGAATTTTTTGCACTTGAGGACAACTCTTAACATTACTGAAGGCAATAGCTGCTCTCCTGTTATTTCCAAAGAAGTGATCTTCAGGTAAAACTGGATGGAACATCTTAGCCATCTCAGCCAACATCTTGTCAATAAACTTCAGCCTTCAGACATCTGTGTGCACTGCCGATCAGGTAAGCCAGCAAATGCTTCTATTCCACCATACTCCTGAATCTTGGATTCACCCAGGAACTTTTCAGCCACAGATTCACTTTGGGCGTCAGTACAGCAATCGACAGGAAATTTGTATAAACTTTTTGGCAAGGTACTGCTTCACTGAGTATGTAAATGCTCTTCTCTTATAGGGTTAGCAGAAGTGTTCATTATCAAAACTGATAATGTAGCAATTAAACAGCTAGTTAGCAAAATGCTTAAGATGATAGAAAATGAATACAAAACTGCAGGTCAGAAATGTTGTCTCCAGGAAATTAAAAACACATTTCTTGGCAAACGGCCAAGGTTGTAAAATTAGTGTGCAATTGGGTCTCTTGGCCAACTCTTGCCTCTTATGTCCTTTCCCCATCGCTCATCTCCTGTGCCTGCTCCCTTGTGTCAAATTAAGGGGATGCCCCATGCTCTGCTTCTCTTCCTGACAGCCTCCAGGCACCCCGTGCAGCCTTTTGGTGAGGGCAGTACTGTCTGTGGGCTCGGCACGATTCCTGATGGAGATGCTGTCTCTTCCCACAGACCCAGCAGTCAGGTCAGCTGTGATCACGTTTCCACCCCTAATGGATTATGCCTTTTAAGGAGAGAATCTGTTTCACCATCACATGTCCAAATCCATGTAGGTTTGTCCCAAACTTGGGGAAAAACACAGTCCAAAAGGACAGGCTTTTTTCAACCCTTGTAATTAAAATCCTGAGCCGGTTCTGGACACTAAAGCTCATTAACTGATTAGAGTTCCTAGTTCATCACCTGAACTCTGGTGCCTGAAACACGCCCTGGGAGAGGAATCAGGCTGTGCTGGCTAGGGACCAGTCCATGATGGGGGAAGCACACAGAAGATCCTCATCGCCTTCCTTCCATTCACTGCTGAAAATCAGGAACAACTGAAAAATCCATTCCACTAAGAAAGACGTAGCCTGCTTTCTTTTTCCTGACAAGAACTGCACCTGAATATTCATCTAAAATTGTTGCTCAAGTTATTTCAGCTTTGCTTTAAAAATAATAAGGCTTTAAAAATACTAAAGCTGTGCTTTGAAAGTAATAAATAGAGGCAAGTATTATAAATGGTGAGAAAAGCCAACAAGAAACGGAGAAAAAATATTTGGAAAATCAAAATAGCAGCACTTTTCAAACTGTTTTACCCCGGACTGCTGAAATAAGACAAGAAGTAGGACTGTGAGGCACCTCAGTGGTGTAAATGCTTGCGCCAAGATTATAATCAGTTTGAATGATTGGATCCATCGTAGATAATTTTACATATTTAAGACTTGCTGTAGTTTCTGAGCCGAGCTTCAGCAAGTCATTTAAGCACATGCCTGACCTTAAATGTGTTAAGGAGCCTGACTACATACAGGAGGCGGAGGGTCAATCTTTCAAGAAGTTAGATAACTCTGCATTTTGAACCGTGCCTGAAACTAATTGCAGGACTAATGCTGAACTCATTAAAATGGAAGCGCTCAACAGAAAATTAGAAACCTCTTTCAGAAATCAGGACCCGCCTGATCTAGATTTAGCTAGGCATAAATATTTGCACTGGTCTTTGAATAGGCATTTGCTTCAGGATTAAATATTCATAGTTAACCAGCCATGCTTAGTCATTTTATTTTAATATTAAGCCACACTATGCAGTTTACTAATGCCAGTGAATGGTAGCATGAAGATTTAGGAAAAATTTTGTAGTGTCATTACAGAGAAGCTACAAACAGCCTATTTTCCTAAGTTTTCTGAACGTAGTGAATGCTCCAAGAAGACTGACTGAAGTGTGATTTTCCTGCATTGAGTAATTTTAGATTATTATTTACTTGGAGTTATTTTAAAAAGCTGGTACTAAGAGGGTAAGAGGGGTACAAGGGGAGGGATACTAAAAATAATAATAATGAGGTGCATGAGGGGGGTGCATGTGTGTGCCCATACCTGTGTGCATACACAGGTATGTGCATATGTATGTATGCTAAATATCCATGAGAATTAATTCAAAATACTGAGAGGTGAAGGGATCTGTATACACAGCAAACTGCAGTCAGGATTATTACCTTTGGATTTTGGAAGCTAAAAAACTAAACAAACAAGTATTGGTCTAGTTTGGGTGGCAGCCTGAAACGAGGTATATTATATGGGTGCCCTACCATAGAAACCAAGGCCAGCCTGGAGAACAGCATTGCTTTGTTCACCCAACACATGAATGGAACATGAGGGGATAGTTTGTGTGGGAGCACTGAGCTCCCATTGATTAATTAAGAAGTAATCTTCCTCGTTTTAAAAAGAGCACACACAGGCTCTCCTTTGGTAGTAGGATATTTGTGGATTATTTTGCCATTCCTTGAATTAACAAACGGCTGCATTGCTCTGGAGACAGGGACAAAACAAGATATCAACCTTAGCACCCCAGATTTTGGTGCGGTTCCAGCCCATTTTTAGATTCCCTAACTGGCTCTGGGAGATCCATAGCAATCCCAGTGCCTCAGGACCTTCAGCATAAAACGTGGCGGGGGGAGGCCAGGGGGGCCGGTAGGGGTTGTATGCATGGCACCAAGTATTTGCCATTCACAGTTAATTCTTGACAAGCCTTTGGCCACTGTCTCAATGATGGGGCCAAACCAAAACCCAGGACCCAAGCTGTTTACAGGCATATCCAAGTGTCTTGAGTTTGCCTCATCACTTTTAGCTCAGGAGTAGTGCAGCTCTGAATCTAGATTAGGAATAGCTTCCTCCCTGTTTTACAGCTATTTAAGGAATTTCTAACATCCTTGAAGCCTATACGTGTAAATATTAAAATCAAAACCAAAAAACAAACAACAAAAAAAACCCTGAAAAAATAATGTGTTTTGGGGGGAAACTACAGACCTACATCCTTGTAGTTGGATCTGATACACCTGATCCTGCTCCCAGAAGAAAGTCAATGGTCCTCTTAGAAATGGGATTGCACCCTAAGTAGCCTCTGACAGTCCCAGGCCAGATGTAACCTAAAACAATCTTTACAACAAGCTTCCTAGGCAAGTGGACACTCTTCTCCACTTTCTGCAGTACAGTCATTCTGAATAAGATACAAAAATTAGTTCATCTACTGAGTCAGCCATCTCTCTTCCCACTCCACAAAACCTTGCTTAACCCAACTTCTCTTATAGGATTCGGGAATATTGACTGCTTCATTGCCTACATTTGGGTTCCCCTGCAGTCCACTAGTCTCAGCACTCTGAAACTAGTGATGATTTATACCACAAAGCAAACACCTTCTGTAAATACAAGACAGACACTGAGGGCATAAAGAGCAGAAACTGAAAAATCAATTCGGTGTTTGGTTTAGTGGGCAGAAAATGTTCAAGTCCTCAAAGAGAAAAGCTCTGTTTACCTGAAGAATCAAGCAACTCAGATGGAAACTCAGAGGAAAGGGAGAAAGATATATACATAATGCTGCAAAATGCTTCACTGTTTGCAACTGCAGCTCTCTCTGGTCAGGCTCTTTGCAGCAAGTTCCCGGGGCCATCAGCTTTCTACTTGTCCATCTCCACAAGCCATAGTGTGTAACTCACGGATCTGGTGGGACTTTTCAAACAAGAAACAAGCTGGCACCTTGAAAAGCATCAGTCAGAAGGGAAAACATCTGTGGGAGTCCTTTCTCAGACAAATACCCCACCAGAGCCTCATCAGCCATGGACAAGGACCTTCCACAGACCATCCCTTTCACCATCAGCCAGCAACAGGAGCAGGTGTGGGACAAACTTTCTTACTCTGCTTTCCTTTCCTTTCCCTTCTTCTGCCTTTTTGGTAGAGAGGATGTTTGGTTTGCCCTAGGATGTTTTTGTCGACATTAATGTCATACTTCGGGTTAATTCAAGCTACCGAGGTACGCACAAGGAGCTAGCATGTGAACCTGGAGCCCGGTGCAAGGGTTACTCACCTTCCACTACCACCGTTGCGGGCTTCGAATAGGCCGTGCCCAAGCTGTTCTTGGCTACACATCGGTATTGTCCTGCGTCTTCTCTCTGAACATTGTGGATCCTTAAATTCCCTGAATCAAGGACAGCAATGCGAGCATTCTCCTGCCAGAAGAAGGAGGGATTGAGGTGAGGGCTCTACGTGCAGGCTGCACACAAGCAGTGCCATATACCCACTGGCAAAGATTGGGCTTACACGCCTCAAAATTATTTGCGTTGTCTTACAGCTGAGGGATTTGGGGCCAGTTCTTCCGGCTCAGCATTGTCATGACACACTCACCTGTCCCTTTTTTTGCAGATCAGTGAATTATAGCTGCAAAAGAGCCATGAATCTTAGCTGAGCAGCTCAGTAGCTCTTATTTATGAGAACACTCAGAGTGCATTCAGCAGCATTTGGCTATGGTTACTAGTAATAAATATATATAATATAAAATATAGATACACAGAGAATGTTTGGTTTATAGGCAGAATTATTGCAGATGTAGACATTTATGAGATGAGCCCTGGATTTTCCAAATGCTTGCTTCCTAGCAACTGGAATTTACAAATGCCATAATTGATGCTAGTATTTTAACATAGTACCTTTAGTGAATAGTTAACATTACTTAAATTTCGTTCTCTACTCACCTTTACAACTGTTTCTCCTTTGATCCATGAAACAGAAGGTTTTGGATTCCCCATTGTAGTGCATGGAAGAACAGCCTTTAACCCTTCTATTATTTCCACATTTATAGGTGGTCGGGTTATTCTGGGTCCTATATTTTTAAAAGTCAAAAATTAAATTTGAAACTGAGGCTAAGAGTACTAGAAAAGGACAAGTTCAGAAATGACAGCAAAATCTCTGCTGCTTTTTCTGTACATTGCTGAAAGATAGAGTGGTCTGAGTAGGTCAGGAGCTGCCTTGGAATGAAAAAAACTTTCTTATGTACAGCATTTAGAGTTTCGGTTTATGGGCACAAAAGCACCTAACTTGCATAGTTATTTATTTTCAGAAGTGGAGTTTGACAGTCATTTGAATTAGGGCTTGGGCTAAAATCCAAATCCAGATAAGAGTATTTCCAATATTGAAGAACGTTTGCATTCCAGGTTTTGACATTCTTCACTGAATAAACAGTGTCTTGTGTGAAAGCTCCATCTGGAGTGAGTTGGTTTTGAAATAGTTTTAACCCAGGCTTGTCTCTAGCTCAACAAGAAGGGCATGTAAACTCAATTAATCTCCCTAGCTGAAGGATTTATAACTATGTTAGTAAAAAGAGGAAAGGATCCTTAAAGAAAAAAAACAGTCAAACTCCCTTAAAGTTAATATGGGACAAATTTTAATTCATTTTACTCAAAGAAAAACATGGCTTGGCTTACTCTGAGCTGGGAGTAAAAAATATCTTCATCTTAGTGTTTTGGGAGATCTGAAGTTTTGCTTCCCTTGCACAATACTGAACCAGCAGAAAAACAACCTTCAGAGACCGTCACCTTCTGGCCCACACCTGCAGGCAACCGGGGTGCTGGAGAGCCCCAGAATTACCAGACCTGGAGGGTCATGCTCATTAGCACAAACAAATCCTTTCCTATGAACAGATGCTTTAGCCAGGATGTATCTCAGCTGCCCTTTTAAGTGTTTGTGTAAATAACTGCAGCCATGTGAGTTCAGCTTAACAGAGCTCAGAACATATATAGCCCTTTGCAACAACCAGTCCTCTGCCCTCCACATGGGATGGTGAGGTTTACACCACGGTGCTCCAGACCTTTCAAGATTGCTATTAAGAACATCTGAACAGCATTTACATGCTTTTGCCATCCTCAGGCATAAATCTGATTAGTGAAATCTTATGTTTAAAATTCACAAGGGATTTATGCAGTATTGCTCTGGAGGTCTAATCTATCAAATTGTGCTGCACTGATGAAGTTTTGTACAAAGGGCGTTCTTCAAAGTATCGTTTGTTATCCTCTGCTATGCCAATGAGCATGTGTTATTCAAAGTGAATAATCACAACTGCTTTTAGTTAAGATACGATCCAATATGCCATGTCTCTGCCCCAAGGGACTGCACCCAGCACCACAGGAACAGGGGTCTGCCTTGAACGCAGACCCCCAGGGGCCATACCTGGGAGTCTACTCAGGTTCTCAATTACCCACTCACATGGTGTCAGGAAGAAATTACATGCCTACTTACGCATTTTCACTTGGAGAGCTCCACAGCTCTGCGCAGCCCCTCCAGCCCCATTATCCGCCGTGCAGCAGTACACCCCATCATCACTGTCCTCCACACTCAAAATGGTCAGGAGCTGCCCATTCCTCTGTATGCTGTACCGGGTATCAAACAGCCTGCAGGGCACAGCACAGATTGTCAGGGGCAGGGGGACAGCCGGGGATGGAGAGGGGGAATCGCACCTGCCTCTGCAGAACACTGACGGCACAACAAATGGCAATATGTTATACTTTTTATTTTCAACCTGCAAAGAGAAGGGAAGGCACTTAAAAAGTTGAGTTGAGCCTTAAGATTTGGTGTGGTCTTCACTAGACCATGCAGTTCCTGACTGACACCAGCATGGTGGCAATTCTCCCTTCAGTCAGGTATTGCTAAAGTAAGTAGGTATCATGGGTTTCTGTCTAGCCAAGGACAGGCATGAGCACAAGTAATCTCATCCAGCTGGGTCCTGTTTTAGGTACAATAACACAGTGCAAGGGAGGGACTACCTATATAGGAACTGGAACTGGCTGAATTTTTTAAAGAAAACTTCTTCAGTTTTAAAAAAATGTTACCTTTTACTGAACAGAAAATGTTATGGAAAGATTTTTGCTGTTGTGAAAAAGATGCAAACCAAAACCCAAGTATTTTTGTGTCTGTATCCAGAAGTGGTTTTGTCTATTTTTTTAAACTATAAAAGCGTTGGGGGGGGGGAGAAGGGGAAGAACAGCCCAACAAACAAGAAAGAAATGTGCTGAAGAAAAGAAGCCATCTAAAGATTAAAGGATGCAAGGATAGCTATAGGTTAATGACAACAACGTTTAATCTGGAGACTTTAAAGAAGTCAAGAAAAGTCCTAAAGTTGGAGCAACAAAGGCATGGGATATTGTAACAAAGTCTGTGGAGCAAAGACCAATCCCGTGTGTGAGCATGGGGTGTGTGCGCACGCACGTGTGTTTATGTATGTGTGCAAAAGCAAGGGAGAGACAGAAAGAAAGGCAGTGAGAAAGCAGAGGGCTGATCTCTTATTTTCATTGCAAAACTGGAAAAATATGGTAAAACTTCAGTGGAACAAGATTTGCATAACATTTCATAAATTTCTCCATGTTTGATTTTCAAACCTTCGTTGATGCTTTTTGGAATCGCTTTAATGCAAATGGCCTTTGATTCTGACAAACAATAGCAAAAGGGATCTGACCTGAAGATTGTCTCCTAAATAGCTCCTAAAAAAAGCTATTACAAATACCTGATGCCTAAGTACATCCTGGTTTTTCTTTTACCATTAAAAATTGTACAGCAGTCACTGAGTAATCTGAATGTGTCATTTATGGTGTTACAGGCGCATATTTCCTCTCAACAGCCTTTTTATTTTCAGTCTTGTATCTCCCTCCTCTTTTTCACTCCGGGAAGAAAGAGTACAATGAACTCATCCATCATGTAAAAGACATGCCGGCTCCATTCCCTTATTTCCCTGAGGAAGACTCACGATGGGCAGCCCTGTCCTGGGAGGTGGGGCAGGTAATCATTTCACTCGGCATAGGGCACCTGTCAGTCTCCTTGCACAAGTTTTGCTGCCAAAAGGAAAGACACTTCCAGAACTATTGCTGACAAGAGCCTCTGTCCTGGCACTATTCCCATTGAAGCTGAATGTTTACATACTGTTTTGTTCTGAAGGTTAGCTTTGCCGTCCGTTCAGGATGCTGGGACCTTGGCAAGGGAAGAAAATTTTGTAAATAAAATAATTGATATTTATTGCTTGCAATAACTAGTCCCTTTGAAGTTTGATACATACACACAGAGAGGCACATAAATAAATTTGTATGGGGTTTTTCAGCAAAAAAAAAAAAGAAAGTCCACTAATCTGATCCTTTTCCATTGTGGAAATACTTGCATCCATGTTTTTGGAAAGTAACAGAAATATTTTCAGCTTATCTATTTCCTTGTCTTTGGTCTGAGCTTTTGTATCCACCAGCGTTGACTATTAATGTCAACACAGCTTTGGGAAGTGAAAAAGTTGCTGCTATTAATGTTGCTTCAGAAGTCCCAGTAAAGGAACGAAGCACCTGGGCTCTCTGGCCTCACCAGCAGAGCTTTTTTGATCAGTATTTGCCTTTTTGGTCACTGTTGTGAAAAAGGCACTGTGTCTCAGACGGAGTGGGATGGCTTTTAGAAAGGTGTGTTGGGCTTCTGGAAGTGGGGACTGAGGTGAGAAACAACCTGGTTTTCATATGATCTTAGAACACAGAAGGAATGAAATTTTAAAGACCGTAGGAAAAGAAAGGCATGTAATCTCCATGGTCCTGCATGAATGGCTTCCTCCCCTAGCTTTGATTTTCAGACATGATGTCACTGATGGGGAAGGCATTAGAAGAAAGGTGACCTGATTTGGAAATAACATCCATGGAAATTCAGACCTCCATCCTGAAACAAGGCCAGGGTCAGAGGGTTAGGACTGGGGGTTTGCTGGGGTTCTGTTGCAGGCAATGAAAAACAGATTTCTGAAAGCCAGCGTGCATATGTGTAGCATTCTGCTTTTCTCCTTTTCTGAAATGGTCTTCCAACCAGTAAGACCTTCTTCTGCTGTGGATTTATTTGGAGTTTCCTGAGAGAGTGGTTCAAGGGCTCTTTGGATGCTTGACCTCAATAGCAGGAACAGTGCTTCAGTTCCACATCTGCCTAACATGATCATCTCTTGTGGGGAATGGGCCTTAACTGTGTTACACAGAGACTGTTCTGTGATTTTTCCTTGCAGAGGGAGTCGCTAATAATGATCTAGAATAAGAAACTGATGTGAAGCCATGTAGCAGATATAATGTGTTTTCAGAGTTGGAAGATCAAGTACAGTTTACTTTGCAAGAGCCTGTCTACAGCAACAGAGTTAAAGCAATGGCAGCAACTTCCATAATATGTTTCCAAGGCTCCTCTCTTTGGCAGCTCCTTGATACCTGGTGACTAATGTCTGACACTGCACAACAATGAGAAACCAGTTTCTTATGGTCAGATCCAGAATGAGAAGCAAACAAGAATGGCATGACACAACCCTTTCCATGCAAAGTTTCCAAGTGCATTGCAGACACTCGGGCAACAAGGCTGGCAGTGCTCCTTTTAAATATTATACAGTATCATATATGTATAAACTGAGGAACAGAGCAGATTGCATTGTCTGAAGCTGGAGAGTAAACTCCTTGCGTTCCTTGCAGCAGAAACCAATTGTCTCCAAGCTCAAGTGTGTGAAGCTGCAAAAGTGCTCCCCCAGGTGCTCCCATCACTCCCTGAGGAACACAGATTCCTATATAATTACAGCCACTCACCCTCTTCCCTGCCATAGACTGATTTGGATGTTTCCAGATATCTCCTTTACCACGAAGGAAAGCACTGATGGTTTTGGTAGAAGGTGCTGGAGAGGTCTGGGGCTGCTCCCTACCTGATGGGAATGCTGTTGCGCGTCCAGGTAATCTCCGGCTCAGGGTATGACTCCACTACGCAGACAAACTTGGCAACATCCTCTACCAGTGCATCCACAGTTTCCAGAGGAGTGCTGATCAAGGGAGCTGCACGAAGGAAGAGAAAATGAGGAAACCTCCCTGTGCTTCCTGGAGAGAGGCACGAAGCCTGCCAGACCTCTTTGGTGGAGGCAGCTGCAGGGTCACTCCATGGCTTTTTCCACGGCGCAGAAGTGCTTTGCACACCCTCCCTGCATTCACCATAACACACATCCCTCTGCATTTGCAGCTGCAGCCTTCTGCTGTTTGCTGCAGGTTTTGCATTTTCCCTTGTGCTCTCTCTATAGTGTCCAAAACACGGCAACCCAAGCAAGTCCAATGCATCCCTTCTTTCTAACCCTCCTCTCCCCCAAGGTGCACAGCACGAGGTGGCATACAGCCAGGACAGAGGTGAGGCTGTCCCCCTGCTACCGCGCTGGCATTGCATGGGCTGGAAGTGCAAGGAACAGCATACAAAATGAAGCCAAGCCGACCAGCCCCTGAAGTGGGCACAGTGCTTCTTTATTAATGCATAATGCATGAAATTTGGGCTTCTTCATCATTAATAAAGGAGTCATTCCACTCAACTATTTATCTGTTAAAAAAGAAAACAAAACTGTTATATAGCACTATATTTTTCAGATCCAGGTATGTAAAGGTCCTTCAGGTCTTCAAGATTTGTGGGGTGACTAGCACACATTTTCTTTTTCTCACTTTTTCTAACCAAGTAGCACCAGGGTTAGAAGTCTAATAGCTGTGTCTGGTGCTTATTATCACAGACCTTTCGCCATACATTATTTGAATGTATGTTTAGAAACATTTTCCATTGCCCTGGTAAAAGACTTGAAGTACGGCTGGAAGGGATCAAAGGATATGCCAAGTGAATCACTTTCCCTGTGCATGGTATGCGTTGGAGCCATTGCCTCCAAAGACGCTTGAATGACTTTTAATCTATGTCTGCGAGAGAGACACGTCCAATATTTGTTGGACTGGATATCATTGACAGCTGTGCTGAGATGAACTAGTTTCATACCATGTCCCTGAAACACCACCTTGAAAATGTACAGCGGATGCAGAAATCTTCCTGTTTGTCGCTGCCAGACACTGCGTGTCTTTTCACAGGAAAATCCTGCCCACACTGTATCTGCTGGCTCTCGTCAGTACAGTAAGATTTAAACTCAAGCAAAAAATAATCTACATCAATTTTACCCCTCCCTACTAAAAAAAAAAGGGGGGGAAATACAAGACGCTCCAATTTAAGTGACTGAGAACAATAAGAAAACCTTTACCTTAATGCCTTTTCAATTTACATGGGAGTAAAAATTAGAATGTCATTAGAGTTCAGCTGGAATGAGGCTAGATGATGAAACGGTCGGCTTCCACTATCAGGTTTATGTAAATATCCTAAAGCTTTTGAAATGTCATTAGAACGAAGCTGCCTCAATAATATTTCTAGATTATATGACTGCAGACTGAATGATTGGTAGTGACTATACTTACATAAAAAGATCTTAAAGCCACCGTTTTAAGGTAGCACTAAAGATTACCTAAACTTCTTCACTAAACATTAGTTGACACATCTGTGTCAGATTCATTGTTTAAGATCACTACTTCAAACTGTATCAGGCTTCAATTTTTTTGGTCATTTTGGGTACACTAGGTAGAAGCGATCATCCATATTGCACCCCAGATGAATCCCATGCCAGTGAAACCGAGTGGAAGATTTTCACAAAGCCTAACTTTCCCTGCTACCGAAGGTTGACTGAGGAGAATAACCTCCACCGATGGTTATCCTGTCTACTTCAAAGACGACATTGCTATTTCATGAAAGAGTTTATTGGGTTTTGATGGCATTAAGCCTGGCTGAAATGGAGTTTTACAATCTAATTTTATATAGTATGTTTTTATTGCTGTTGTCCGCATGCCTTGATGTCTGGAAGGATGCCTTTTTAACCCTGAGAAATGCAGATTTTTACAGTAACCAAAAGTGAAAGAAATCAGTTTTACAACTGTGTTGTCACGATAAGGATGGCCATTTTCACAAAGAATGAAGTTAGATTTGTACCAAGAGCCAGTATGTGTAACGACAGTATCTTATTCTTTGGGCAAACAAGGGATGTCGGTTTTATATATTAAATAAATTCACTAGCAACGGTTAGGTACTTCCATGATATATCTTTAGTTCAACGTATGACAGAATTGTCCTTAGCAATATTGCCTACATGGGATCTGATCAGCCATCTCCTAAAAGCCAGCACCAAGGTCTGATGTGGTGCCTCCCAAAAGCCAACACACAGCTCTTAGGGCAGAATCAAGCCCCATGCTCATAGAAAATGCACTTTGCCCATAGTAAAAGCAGAAAGGGGACTTTTTTTTTACAGCTGCCTCCCCAGAGCATCCTTGAAGAGCAACCAGGACAACAGCAGCATTTTCTCTTATGCTCTTTTTTACATTTCCGAAATTAAAACTCAGTGCCAGGCCAGCAAGGAGGTGGAGGCAGCTCTCCTGCAGCCAGGGTGAGGGGCAGAGGGCAGGATGCCGGAGGACGCGCGGCGTGTCTGCGCAGGGGACTGCGAGCACGCCGCCATTTTGTCATGAGGCGGAGAGAGAGCCCCAAAATGGCTGAGATGGTGCCTGCTTCTACGAGCCATCCAAAAAGCTCAGGTGTTGGTGTCAGTCTCTGTTTTCTCAGGAAAGCAATAAAAACTTACAATGCCTTCTTTACCAGATTTTAACGCAGCAAAATAAAATCCACACAATGTACGGACATCTCTATCGGCATATAGAAATGTCCCCAGGCCTTTCCATGCACATCCGTTGGGGCTCTCTGACATTTTTTAGGTAACCCTGTGGCTTTAAATAACACCGAAAATCAGTTAACTTACATATCTGTAACACCACACAGGTGCCGGTTTTGTGGGTGTCAGCTGTAGTTTCCCGAGATAGCAAAATGACCCAAGGCTGGTCACGGGGCCCATGAGAAAGCCAAATCCCCTTCTATCCCCAGACCACCAGAAGCTCCGAAATTGCTTGGCTTTGGTTTTGGATTCACACTTTCGAAACGAAACAAGGCCGGCAAACAAAACAAAGCGGAAAACAGAGCACCGGTCTCCCCTGCAGCATTGCAGACACCTGGAGATACTGCAGATCCTTTGGTCAAAAACTGCTCAATGGTGTTTCAAGCTAATGCTGCAAAACCTCTATAGGGCACTGCTCAGCTGTAGCCATATTTCAACCTCTCTCGGGAGCAAGGCAACTCAGCCACCTATGATGTTTTAGGAAAGGATGTGTATCTCTTCATTGCACTGTGCCACCAGGAAAAAAACAAATCCATCCCATTCCTTTTTATTTTTTAATTGTCTCTCCAATCTCGTCTTACAACAGCTTTCAAAAAGACCCAGGTTCACCAACTTACTTTACTGCCTTAGGAAAAAATTAACATTTTTATTTCAAAAGTTCTTTATAAAGAGACCTTTTTTTTTTTTTCTTTTGTAGTTTAAGGCCAACCTGACTAACAATGGTAAGAGCACAGCCCTGCAAGAGCAGCAATGTAGGCCTAACAGGTGAATACTGGCATCCTCCTTGAGGTCTTTTTCTGTTTTCCTGAAGCTGCAAATTTTCTGGTATGCTTTGAATGGCTCCTGACAGTCACGATGCAGGAAAATCTTTTGTCCACAGGGTTACCAGACGGTATGTCCAGCAGACCACGGTTGCACTTTGTACCTCAAAGACTTCTCTAAACAGATTTTTTTCAGTTCTTGAGTTGGCTAAAAGTATGTGTGCGTGTGTCCATGTGCATGTGTGCACACAAAAGAGGAAGAACATATAATAACTTTTATGTTCTATGTAGTACAAACCATGCATATTTGTATTTATACATACACAATCTGTAAAGACATTATAGCTATTTATTACTTCCTTGAGCTTTATGTATTTATAAGCATACACAGGCATGCAGAACACCACAAATCTTGGGGTCTGCTGTGATGGGTGCTTCCAGCCATCAAAACCTGTAAGCTTCCTTTGACATGAGAAATGTCCATCCCACCCAGGCTGAACCCAAACGTCTCCCCTGCCCATTACAACAGGACTATGTGCTCTTCCTAGACAAAGAACCTTCAATCCCAGACACAAATATGAGATTCTTTTCACTGCTATCGTTCTAAAAGCAATGAAGTTACCACCGAAAGCAGCGTATTTTTGTCCTTTCCGGCAACGCTACCGCACCACCCACCCCACCGTTACCAGAGACACCTTCCCCTTTGCAAAACCTCCTTCAGCAAGTGGCAGAAGCAGAGCAGGGCAAAAGCCCTCCAAGCAAACCTTTCAGGAGCGTCTCGGCCAAGCTGAGGGCTGCCAGGGTGAGGACGTGCACCAGGGGCACCTTCAGCAGGTCATTCATGTTTGATCCAGGAGGCATCCGGCTCCTTCAGGCGAGGCGTGCGGAGCTCCTGGCCGGCTGCATTTCTGACAACGGTGCACGAGCAGAGCTTCTCCGTTAATGACCGAGCGAGGTCTGCAGGATCTAAGTATAATCAGGAATTCTCCCACCCGGTGGTGGTGATGGACGTGGCCAGCTGGTGCGTATCCACTTTGGTCAGTGTGAAAGCGTGGGGCTCGTGAAACAAGAGAAAGCAAATCCCTTCTGAATTCCTTCTAAGCAAACAGAGAGGAGTACAATGGGCAAACGCGTTTCCAGAGCAGTACCCTACACCAGCACTGCAAAGTCACCAGGCCTTTATTTCAGCACTGTGTAAGTGCAGTAGGGGAAAAAATGCTTGCCGCTGGATTTTTCTTCAGCTTAGTCCCCCTCTTTTTAACTTTTTCTTGTCTCTCTCTCACACACGCGTTCCTTCTGTCTTATTATAACCTTTCATGATTGGCTGCAATATACCACCTGTTGCCCAGCTGATAGCATTTCTTTTCTTAACAGATGTATTTGCTGGAGCGGGAGAGGTTGGCATTGGGGGCTGAAAGTGCCCTTCTTTGCCAAGGAGTTTGTCAATGTTTGAGAACTGTTGCAGCATGCTGAAAAAGCAGAGCCTTGTCCTGGAAACAGACCCCAAAGAAACCTGAATACCCACAGAGGGAGCAGCAGTTATACGCTGGGAGAAATGGAGGATTTCATTTCAACATCAGCATCAGCCCAGGCAGTTTGGGCAAGGGTAGAGGCATTGCTGTAGGTAAATAAGACTAGTGGGTACTGACATTATTAATCCCTCAGAAACAGCTTATTATCCACCAGGTCTCCACCTAAAGTGAAAGACTGAAAAACGCAGCTCATTTTCTAGGAAGACTTAGCAGAGCATCAGGCTTGAGGCAATCTCCTGACTAACTCCATCTTGCCCCGTCTTAGCACAGCGGTCTACATGACATCATCTTTTTCAAAAATGTCAAGTCATTTGTACTGCCTGTTTTTCCAGCGTAAATATTTATATAAAGAGCATTTGCAATCAGTCTTACCACTGTGGAAAGGCTGATGTGGGGGCAACATCTGCATGAGCAGAAGATAAAAAGATGAATAATTGGCTGGGGAGAATCTAATTGACAATGATGCCCTGGGAACATGGCTCTAGATACTTTACATCATGTTATCAGCAGAGAGGATGTGAGCTTTGCAGTAAAAGGCATGGTTTGAGGAAAGAGAATGTGCAGTCATAACATATCACAGTGAAAGGTACTTTGAGATCTCTGGAATTTCCTTTATTTGCTGAACCTCTCAGTTTCAACCGCTTCTTAACAGTCATTTCTGCAATGAACGTAAATCGTTCTGCAGTGTTTCCCCTAAGGAGCAAATGGAGTAAAGCTGGCCAGAGCTATGTGTGTGTGAATCCCAATGGTTTGGCATAGCGTGATAACGGCAATGTTACTTTGGGGACATGCAATGGCTGATTAGGAGCAAAGATCCCCAGACAAGTGCTCCTCTGAAAATGAATAAAGGCCAGAAGTGCTCACCGAACATGTGCTAAAGATCTTCCAGGAATTCTGGAGCTAGCAACAACAACAAAGCAAAACAACAAGACAACAATGAAACAACAATAATCCTACCAGGGAACATAGAAATCCTGACTTATGGCTGAACTTACAAATACTTCTTTTGTTTTGTTTAAGTCCAATCACATCCAATTAATCTGCTCCATAGAAATGCAACTTGGTCTTTTAGGGTAAAATTCTCTCCATGGAGGGACTTGACCAAAGACCTCTACATCACTGGATTCCAGTCTGGGCCGTGTGAGGACTTTGAAACTGTACCATGCAGTACAAGTCCAAAAAATTAATCTGTCCCTTTTACTTGCCTATCACAGCATTTAGAAACAACATTGACACAAATGACTGTTAAATGTCAATAATGCCTTTGTGTTTTTAGGATTACCAAACTACTCCTAACCTCTCATTTCCTCTGCTTTATAAATTTTTATTAATGACCACAGTGAGCTACACTGCTTTACACTGAAAGCATATAAATTTACATGATACATGGGAGTAGAGAGGATACACGTGCACAAGGTGGAGTTATTTTGTTCTCCAGCTACACATGCCATACAGCTAACAAACAATATATAAGCGAAGCTGGTGATCATCTGTCCCTGTCATGGAAAGATGTTTCTGTATAGAGTGAAATCAGTGGAAATGAAATACTGATGACACCAAATTTTCTTTGATTCCAAGCATTTTCCAGGCTTACCTTATAAAAGTAAAATGCTCCTTTAATTTTTACTCCCAGTAGTTACGAGTTTGCTGTTTGTTGGTTGTTGAGGGCTTTTTTCTAACAAAGCTGAGATGCATACAGTTTACAGCTAATTGTTATTTACAGCTGTTGTTATTTGTAGTCATGCCCCAAGGCCTCTGCTGAGATGAGGTTGCAGCAGCCTACACAACTAATACCGAGAAGCAGTCCCTGGCTCTCACGCGTTGCAGGCGAGCTTTTTTCCCCCAAAGTTTTTTGCAGCAGCTCAACTCTCTCCACTGCAAACACCTTCACAAAAGTTGGTTCATGAAGTTCAGTGCATGAAGAGAAGGTGTGCTGGAGCATTCATTCACCTAGGTACCATTTTTTCCCTTTGAAAATTGTTTGCAGAGTGACTTTTAAAAAGCACAGTATTTTTTAATAAATACAAAGAAAGTCAAAATTCAGATTGCTGAATAGTTCAGATAACTGTTTTCCAGTTAATGAATTGCTTGACGTCTCCCCACCATAAAGGGGGGAAAATTTGCTTTTCACTGTTTGCAGACAGGATGCTGCTGGACCTTTTCGCTGTATGCCTCTTCTCTCTCTCCTTCTTCAAAGTGCTCTGCTGGAGGCTGACAGTTTTACATGTTAATGCAATAGATACTTTGAAAACTGTCTTTTGCCCCAGGTCACCATCTGGGGTGTCTTCTCCCTAGACAGTCCCAGATGTTCATCCAGCTAGACAGGCTAGGGCAGGTACTTCCAGCAGAAAATGTCCAGCCAGAGAACAAATTCCTTCTGTGGAGGGACCCAACGAGGTTGCTTTGACAATGGGCCCGGTCACCCAGCATCTGGTGATTCACATATAGAAATATTCAAGTCAGCACTAACCCAGCCTGACCAGTGTCCATTTTAATGCAATGTCATGAATGTTGGTGCTGGCAACCTACCTGAGTAAACATGGGGGCCACCAGTCTTCAGCTTTGGTGCTTGCCAGTCCTGCCGTCACCCTTCTGAATGCAACACAGATGTAGTCTCTGAAGCATGAGACCAGATCTGAGGCCTCATACAACAGGCCAAGCTATTTTTACTTGCTTTTCAGCAGCAACAAGAATCTCTAAAAATGACTAGGTCGCTGGTGTTCAGCTCAATTCATGTATGTAACAATCAAGCCAGAAAAGAACGAGCCCTAACCTGCCAAGGTAACAGATGAGGACACAAAAGGCAAGTGGTCTTCAAACTCCAAGCTCCCATGTCACGTCTCCAAGCCTCTTCCAGTCAGCACAGAGCCCAGAAGGACGTATACTGTGGGTCTTTCCCTGAGATGCATGCATGGACATGTCGCTGCATGCACTAACCCTGTGCCTGTTGCACGCTTGCTGCTTCCCTCCTCAAAGCTCCCAGCTTCTCAGACACAGGCACCCTCACAAAATATTTGACAGTGAAACCCATCTCACCACATGGGTCTGCACGTGTGCCTTCCCACACAGAAATTAATCCAGGTCGGATTGCCATAGGGTTATGGGCACACCAGTCCTCCTAGTCCACCCTGCCCACGATGTTGGCAATATCTCAATGCAGCACGCGTTCCCGGGTGTACAGCACGGAACGGGCATCTCTGACAACACATGCCAGCATTTGGGGATGAGATAAACATTGTTTTACTTCTTTTATTACACATTTCAACTCAGTTCTTTACAGTAATCCTGAGTGGAAGCAGCTGTTACCGCCACCAGCTCCAAGGGATTTAACCCAACCTGCAACACACATATGGCCAGTAAGGTATTGTTGCTTGTGTCAGTAATAGCAAATGCCATATTCAGTGTAACATGTGAGGGAATAAGCTACGCTGCTGTTGTTCTTTACCCTGCACTTGTGGGTGTTTTTTGTTGGGGGGTTCTTTTTTCTTAATTGTCAAAATGAAGAAAACACTCTTCTGTAAAGTCCTTTAAGAAACACAGACCCATCCTTATAACTTACTGTGTTTAAGTAACAACTTAAACACAGTATAACTTACTGTGTTTCAGGCGCACTTGGCTGGCCTCTGCCTTCAGCCATCTGGACCAATTTCTGATCTCCTACTAATACTTCAACACTTACTGAGCCCTGATGCCAGAATCTAAAATGGTGCCCTTGTCTTCTCTTGAGATTTGTGGATATTGGGAAACCTAAAATTCACATCGATTTCTTGCTATTGTCTTGCTATAAACTTTCCTGTAATTTTTCAGCTCACAGGATCTGCCAGTACAGCCTAAGGCGAATCTAATTGGCTGTCCTATGTTTCATGGTGGGGCAAAATTATGTAGTGTTAGGAGATGTAATTACTACAGTGAAATAGTGCAAATATTGTAATGCAAGAGGAAGATCCCTTGTCAGGCAGCTAGCTAACTGTGCACTGGTGTATATAGCACAGAGGGTGAGACGAATGCATGTTTTTCATAACATATGAAATTAATTTCTCTGCTGGGAGAACGGCTCCTTATTTCACTTCACTGCCCACAGCAGCCAGCCCCACACCGTAACAGGGGGAAAGCTCCTACCCTCGATAACCCTCTCCTCTCTGCAAGGGTAATGCTGTTGCTGTGCTGAGTTGTGGGGGGAGTCAGTGATCACCATGTTTCCCCAAACAGGAGTGCCACAGGCAAGCACACCCCTTGTTCATCAGCCTCTGATTTCAGTCCTCCATCCTCAGGCTGCCATCAGAAGAGTGCAGTCTGTGGGGCCAGGGTGGC